ATTTAATTTTAAATGAGAATGAGTAGCGATATAATTGATGATAACACTAATATATATTTGAACCATAACTAAAAACAATCATTCCGATCTAAATAAATTGTTATGATAATTGTCTGAAAGGATTATATGGCAAGAACATAAAGAACAGGTACTTCTTATTGAACTTCTTAAACATTGATTTTGCAGAAAATGTTTTGCGTCTTTAATTTCAGAATGTGTATTGAAGAATGCAGTATATGTCCTATGTACTAACTGAGATGATCAGATATACCTATTAGTGATAATATCAAGTTAGTTTATAAGTGTTGGGACTATACTATCAGGTGGTTGAATATCTCATAGCAACAAATTACTAATTTATGTCGGATGTGATACTTATATTCAAAGCTAGCTGCTGTACTAAATATAAGGGTAAGTGCCTTCTCATTTTTTATTTAGTAGTCTAGTATTGGAATTAGAATTTACCAAATAAATATATATACCTATAAGTTAATTTTAAATGTTATAATAAATAAAATAAAATAACTGAGAAATGTTATTTATATACTGAACTATATTATTAATAAAATAATAGTTAATAGTAATCCATAGACGTATTTGGTATTAACATGTTACATTTATTCCTGTGAATATATAGAATACTAGCGGAGCCAACACATGTTGTCCGGAATGGTATACTAAGCGATTAGGATATTAAACAAAGTAAGATATGAAACACACATATAATGTAATAATTTTCTTATTCTTTACTTTGAAATAACATCAATTTTTCTAAAAACAATTCGTAATAATCAATAATGTTTGTTTAATTTCATCTTAATACGAGTTGATGAACAGTCACAGTTTTTAGTCAATTCTTGAGGAGTATAAATGAATAAATTTGACGGTTTTCCAACGCGAGAACACGTCACATATAATTGGCCATGTGAAAAGATCTGATTTTCTACATCTATCCCACAAATCGACATTGTTTGACCTTGTGACTAATTAATAGTCATGACAAATGCCAAGCGAATTGGAAATTGCAGACGTCTGAATGGAATGGGTGCGTCTGAAGGGATCATTGGGATTCGTGGCAGGAGAAAAGCTTCACCTTCAAATTTGTCATTCAAAATTGTAGCTTCAAGTACATTGCCCATAATTTTTTTTATGACTAATCTCGTGCCGTTGCATAGCTTAGGTGAATAGATTAGGTGCATTTTTCGCAGCATAATTATAGGTGAGCCAATTTTTAATCTTAAGTTATGTGGTGGCATTCTTAAGTTATGGTGGTAAGCATGAATAAATTTTAAATATCTAATATAAATGTATACGGACACCAAAAAACTGTTTAATAATTAAAAAACATTATCCAGTGCACCAAATTGTGAATCTAACCATTCTCGAATCCACTTGAACACACACGAAAAATTTAATCAAAATCGGTTCAGCTGTTTAAAAGGAGGTCACTGTCAACATACGTACAGAAGAATTATATATATAAAGATATTAAATTTGTTTAAATATTTCTTATAAATTAAAGGAATCAGACCAAGTCCAACGATCTTTCAACATTTGGATATCTTTTAAATAAAACGATTTATCAAGTCCTCCAAAATATACCTTTCTCATTTCACTTTATTATTTGATTCCACTTCAATCTCTTTCCCTTGAGCCATTTTTTCAAATATGGAAACAGGTAATAGTTACTGTGAACCAAATTTAAAGAACACGGTGGATGTAGAAGCAATTCGTACCGTAATTAAATTTTTCATTGACGAGTGCGCTGGTGTGGTATCCTGTAAAAGCAAAATTTTACGACAAATCTTCCAAAAATGTGGTGGTTTTTATTGTTATTTTCTCATTTAATCTATCCAATAATATGCAATAGTAGTCTGATGTTATTCTCTTTCCTTTTCCAAATAGTTTATGAAAATTTTTCCACTTGAATCCTAAAATACGAAAGCTAAAACTTTGCCGATTGTTGAGTTCGTGTTCATTTGAGAACTCTACCCACGGGCTGTACCCATCTCTGTTTTATCAATTGTCACTATTCGACACTCACAGTCAGTTTTGGATGACGAAAGTCATTATCGTTTTTAGTTAATTGTGAGCAAACGCAACACCCAGAAAGCCAAATATTCATATAAAATATTCGATACACATTCATATGATATGTTTGTCACCTCTGCTATCTCACGCAATTTAATTTTTGAAACATCCAACACAATATCGTAGATGTTTTTAAATATTTTTTCATTTGTGATCTCTTTTGGGTGATTCGTACGCTCTTCATTAAAAATACTCGTACGACAACGTTTAAATTCAGCTTTCCAATATTTTATTGTTGTTAGTGATGGTGTCAAGGTAGCTGTAAACAGAATCCATTTCCAATTTGGTTGCATTATTGTTCATTCCTTTCAAATGGATGAATTTTATTACTGAACGATATTTAATTTATTTCATTTTATAAAAAATCACCAAGGTGCAATATTTCAATTATTTGCAAAAAGCTAACCAAACATCTGATAAAGTCGAAACTTATTAATCCACCTAGTATATGAATGAATGATTCATAAATATACAATGATGCCGGTATGAATAATTTTCATCTTTTGATGCGTATTCGACTGTTATCGCCCAAGGACATTTATAACATTGTGGGTCTTTTGAGAGTTCGCCCTTATCGTTTGCGTTTATAAATTCCTTGTTTTACTCTAGTATGGCTCGTCTGACCTAATAGATCGAAATAGTATATTCTCTGGGGTCACCAGGTTTATGAAAATCTTAATTCTTGACTGGATTTTAGTTGTACTTTTCTATATTTCATTCCCATAAAATTGATCTGCCATTATGTTTGTATTGAATATGCGAAATTTTATGGTGTGAATATATGGCTGCAGTTCCATATCTTTATAGGTTGCACAAAACCTCTTCTAGTTTTCTTTATTCTAGCAATAAATACCTCTGTTCCGCTTTTATGTATTGTAACGCTTCCGAAATATGTTATTGATTGCACACTTACTAGTTCTTTAGTTCCTTTTTGAATAACATACCCGCTATACCCGCTACTCATGATATTACTTATGCCCCTTATTTATTTAAACTTTATGTACACTTTATAATATGATTAACCGATGCTACAAGCCTACTACTTCTTGATGCGCGTGCAAAACCAATAAAAAAGAGTCTAAGTAAAAGAGTCTACAATCAAAATTGGTATGGATACATACATTTGGAATAAGAATTTGCTTTAAAACATAATAACTAAAACTAAATAATATATTTAGCTATTAAAAAAAATGGTAAATGATCTATAAGCATTCTAAATTAAGATTAATAATCCTAATTATCCTAATTCACAAACATAAACAAAAAGTGAAAAGGTTGACTATATATTTTATGTATACATAAAATAACTAGCAAAAATAGTTTAAATTTTTTAAGGATATATATGGACTGATTTTTACCTCAGAGAGAAAATTTTAAAAACATAGTTATAAAAAGTAACTAGTGAATAATTAATTTGTGTAAAAAACTATAAATGTGAAATGAATTTAAAATTCTGCAAAACCAAAGTTAAATTTTTTCTTATTATATAAAAAGGGTAGCAATTTCTTAAATTATTAAAATTATTTTTTTAATTGATCCATTGAATATAAAAGAAAACAAGCTTGTTTTTGTTTAATGAGTCAGGAGTGTAATAGAAGTTTATTACAAAATGTGTTTTTGAAACATCTCTGAGATGAAGTGATAACATTTTTTTTAATAGTACATAATAATAATAATAACAATTAAAACTTAAAACTTTAAAAGTGTTTGTTTTGCTTAAATTTAAAATCACTTTTCAACAGTTTTTATTCACATCATTCGTTACACGGTGTTCAACAATGCCTATTTTATAGTTTATCCTAACGTTACATATACATACATATTAAGCAATACAAAAATGAATTGTCAATATGTATGTGTATATATACAATTATAGAAATTAATTTACACTTTACAATATAATTACAGAACGTAATTTTCCTTTTCCTTACTACGTATATACACCCACCAATGCGCTTACATAAAGTACTGAATGTAGGGTGTGTACAGTGTATAATATATTTATAAGGTACGATTTGCTTACAATTTAAAATTAAATATTTTTTTTTACTCCATAATATGGATGCTTACACATCTAGCCAAGAACTCTTTAGTAATTTTTAAATATATATATTTATATAATTTTATATATATTTCTTTTCTGTTTGTAAATAATTATATATAATCAACACTTTTTCTTGTAAATTGATTGATTTAAATTACACATATATTTTATCTTATATTAATAACTATACTTATTATTAATAAAAACGTTAAAAATCCAAATACACATACAAAAATTAATTATTTAAAAAATAAAATGAACACTATTTATTGTAATTAAAATTAATTTAAAATTATTAATTAAATATAGTAAAAGAAAGTATTAAAAATAAAATATATTTATAAATATATATGTTACAGTGTAGTAAATATATATATATATGTATATATATATATATAGATTGTACTTACTTAATTCATTGATAATGAAGAACATTAATATTATTACATTATAACATCAATCAACAAATATATTATTTATATATCTTTAGTACATTTTATGTTCTATTATATATATATATATTACTATATATATATGTATATGTTTTTTTTTTTATAAATTTTGCGTTGTTTTTTGTTTTTTTAATTGCATGTATTTTGTTTTTTTTTATTTTATATTATATATATACATTCTTATATCAAGCTTCTTGGTTTAAAACCATGCGAAACGCTAAATTTTTAATTTTTAAGCACTTTTAAGTAAATTTCCTTATTTAAATTTTGTACACTATATAGTCAAAAATATTGCAGAAAAAGTTGTAAATTTAATTCACATTAAAATGGTATAATGAACTTTTGTGTTTAAATTTTCTTTAAAATTCCTTATTTTTGTTTTTGGTTAATCTTGTTTGTTTTGTTTTGTTATTTGATATTTGTTAATTTAAACAAAATAATATATGAAACTAAAGTAATTTTATATTCTAACTTTTTTTGCTTATTTGATAACTGCACATTTTACACCTTTCGCTTTGCATGCAACATTTCCATTAGTAAAGTTTGTGTAGGTGCACTTCCGGCACAATGTTTTGAGTATAAATGTTCTTCGCCTCTTGCTGCCATTGCGTGTATGTCAGGAAGAATATTTAGCAGCCTCCTAAATTTATCCTGCAATAAATAAGAAAAGGGAGTTTTATTTCATTTTCGACTAGCTTTTTAATACTTTTTTAATATATAGTTTACTTGGTGGTACAATTTTAATATTTTACTTAATGCATCCTTTGATACTTCTACTTAACACTGTTCACATACATACCGTTACTGATGGATAGCATGTCAAAGTGTAATCCAATAATGCTGCCTGTACATTTTCATGTCCTTCCAAAACCGTCTTTTTATTAATAATTCCTCTTACATCTGAAAAATCAATCAATTGTTTATTAAATATTATTTATATGATTTATTCAATTAAAAAAAATTTTGTTTTTTTACCTGGATTCAACAGTATTAAGAATTTCATGCATACATAATCGCCCATATCAAATTTCAGGTCTTGTAATTTATTTTGTAGTTCGTTAAAATAATCAGCCAGCTGAGGCACTCCAAGCAGTCCCAGACCAAGAAGATTAAATACTTGACCGTTGTTAAGTAGTGTTTCATCTGGTAACGCATTATGTATTCTTTGATGCAGATGATCGAGTACTAGCATATCAGACCAGGAATGCTGTAACAGCTTCATTTGATCATCCACCTAAAAGATATAAAAATTGTACAAATGTAAAACTTTTTTATAATATAAAAATAAATAAATAATCAAAAAATTATGTATATATATATATATATATATATATATATATCACTCAATAAGTTTATATTCTGACACATATATGGCAACACTGTTGACAAATTGCTATAATTTGTGGAGAACCGAATCTTTGAAATGATAGATATTAAAATTTGGTGACATTCTGAATTAGTTTACAGGTTAAATCTTTTGATGATCGTAATTTCGTTATTTTAAAAACAATTAATATTAAGTATATATGTTATTATATATTGTGTTGATTAAATCTTGATTTTTGTTGGGGAAAAACGTAGTCAAAACCAAGCAGTGGTTTTATGTAGACTATACACCAGAGAAATCAACCATTAGTGACTTCATATAAAATAAAAATATGCTTCAAAGTTCTGGCCAAAGAAACTAATTAACAGCCTGTAACTATATACGGAAGTAAAACATTATATATAATGCGGAGGAAGTGCTGAAAAATACTGAAGTGACATACAGAAGTAGCTACAATTATAAGCAGTTCCTACTCATAGAGAAAAATGGTTTTCCTTGTTTTAAGAGATAATGGATATCAATGTCAATATATGGATAGAGGTGGTAAGATTTAAAAGTAATTGAATTATGATTATACGATAAATTTTTTTTCAGAAATCTATCTGTATATATATTTGTTAAGAACAAGTAGGAGAATTTAGAGTACAGAAATATGTAGATTAATTTTTTCGTATGTTTCTGTACTTAGGCTGGATGGGTCTTTTCACGAAAATAAAAACAGTGGATAGGTTACTTTAGATGTGTATTATAGATTCAAAATTATTTTACATATAATAAGATTAAACGTCTAAAAACGTTATTTATAATTTTAAAACCAAATTAATTTTAAATAATTATTATTTTTAAACTTATATAAGTACAAAAATATATTAGATTTTAAGCTAAAGTATACTTAGTGATCTAAAAGTAGTTGTCTGTTTTGAGTTATATGAAGAAGTTTTTATAGAATAGTCAATTTTCATAATTGTAGAGTTATTTTGAAGAGCTTTTCTCTTTCCCACTGTTTTTTGTTAGTATTCCATTTCACTACAAATTTTAACGTTATCCCCCAAAATTGTCATCACTTAGTTGGGCAAGATCATATACACTATTAATATAACTAAATAAAAGAAATTATGTTGTCAAAGCATAATTTTTTTCAGAAAGTAGGTATTTATTTTAAAGCTTTACTTATATCATATATTTTAAGAATTTATCAATATTTTACGATAATTTTTGTTACGATTTTTGATATCTTTTAAATAGTATTTGAAATATGTGCAAAATATTATTGATCCACTAAAATTTTGGATACAATAATTAAGGTTTGTTTGCAGAAGAGATAAAAATGAAAACACTAAAAAATTTAAACATCTATTTAAATTTTTAAGGTTACATGATATCAATTCAGAGCAAAAACTATATATTTTTTTTATTTAAAAACTGAAGAGAATAAAAAGCTTCAAGCTTACGTTAATAATATTAAACCCTCTCAGTGTCTTAAGAGAACCATGTTTAGATACATTCATGCAAATATGCTTTTCGATACACCAGCATAGTAGTTAGATTGTGTGAGTTCATGTGTAGTGCAGGCATATTGCGTCACGACTTTGAGTTTACTAATCTTTTTTTTCGTTTCGTTAGGCTTTGGTTGCTAAGTAGGTCAGTTCATAAATAAAATCGAAATTAAATTCAGATTTGAGCTTTGAGATTCAACGTCGAGCCATTGAGTTGAGTTTACATAATATAACGACGCATAACTATGACCCGGGTAAGCACAGACTGGTCTAGCGCTCGTTTGGCGTGTGCACAACATTCCTTATATCTATGTTTTTCTTTGTAAATTCTACAATTTCTTGCAAATTTTTTATTTATTTAAATGATAAGTATATACATTTTCTTTTATTATTAGCGTACCTTCAAATCCTTAAAGAAAATTGTATTTCTAGCCCAATCCACTTGTGAAAATAGATTTTGATCCAAAACTTTACACATTAATTCAAAGAGATCCACCTCAACTTGATTGTAAGTTTGCTTTTGCAACAATGCAAAAAGTTGCGTTTGCCATTCTCTGTCATCTATTGACTGCACAAATTCCCTAATCATCGGAGATACCCTAGAAGAAAAATAATAAAATTATTTAAATATTATTATAATTATTAGATTTTTAAATATTTACCTCAATGGTTCTATAATGGAATCAGCTGTACTTGAGGGATGCGTTCCGGAATCGAAGCTTAAATAAATAATTAAAATAAAAGTTAGCATCATTTTTGATAAACAGGGTGTGTAAACCGTTTAACCAATATTCGATCAATCGAGTAACTCTAAACAACAACATAGAATAAAATTATTTTAAATGACAAACATAAAAATTAATCGATTATCGAAATAATTACAAAATATGAATTAATTTATATTGTTGTTGTTGTTGTTTTTATTAGATTTACGAAAAAAAAAAGAATTTCTCAATTGGTAGAATATTCGTTACGTTCCTTTCACCCTGAACGCCGCGAGGATGACCAATTTTAAAAGGGGTAAAAAAATGTACCACAATTTCGAATCGCCTGTATTTTGTAGAGATCCTGTTCCAGTATCATGGCAGCTACCATTACCGCCACGGTTGAGACCATCGCTAGTGTTATTACTGTTATTGTTGGTATTATTACTACCACCGCCTCCACCACCACCAGCGCCACTATTATTTATAGGAGCTGATATCACACCCGCACTTGCATTTACTTGACCAAGCGCGATTGCAATGGGGCTGGGTGAAGAATCTGGTGATTGAGTTAGAGAGGATATCTGAAGAAAAACCAATTGAATTAATTATTTTGTATATAAAATTATTTATATTATTTCTAGTATAAAATATAAAAAAATATTATTTCTTCAAATTTTCTAATTTAAATACTACATATTTTAGCCCATTTAATTTGGGTCAATGTCAAGGTCAAAATATTTAATATAATGCACAAAATAAAACACAAGTAACAGTGTTTTCTATATTCTAGTAGCAATAAAAATATCCTTACTTGAGGTATTTGAATTTCCTGTTTAATATTCATATTTGGATATGCTTGTTGATATCCTGGTGACAAAGGTGATTGCTTCATGTCGGCCGAACTGATGGATGTGCGCAGAGCCTGTAAAGCAAGTTGTCTTTGGCGCATCACTTGTAACTTTCGCGCTCTATCTCTTTTGTACATTGGCCCAAATTTATTTCTTCCACCTCTCATTCGATCCGCTCTTACAGCTAAATTAAAAAAAAAGGTTTTTAATATTTGATTACTTTTTTGCAATAAAATTAAAATTACTTAAAAAGTTATTAAAATATTTTCCTTTTTTTTTTTTTTGAGTTTTTAAAATATTAAATGTATATTTAAGTTTGCATTATGTAATGATTATTCCATAAAAATAATCAAGAAGATCAATTATATATTCTATAGATATATAGATATTATAGATATTTATATATTTAAACATTTTGGTCTATAAAAAATTATATTTATACTATATAAGTGATAGATTCCATTTATTCGAATAAAACTAATTTTATTGTATTAATTTTAATAATAACAGTCATCATTAAAGATTTTAAATGTACAGACTATAGAAACATTAAAGTTATATTAAAAATTAAGAATAAAAATATTTATATATTGGCTCCTCAATTTTGTATTTTTAAAACATTATAAATGTGATGATATTATTTAAATTTAATTTTATTTAAAGATACAAAAAACGTACAATTATTTTTTATATATTATATATACAGGGCATACTATCCTAACAAAGTACCATAAATGCGGGAGATCATTCCTTGGTCAAAGGAACGAATAATAATATATTAAGAATCCTTTTCAATATGCATATTCTATAACATCCTGTTTTAAGAGAACTGTGTCCGAACAAAAATTTAATCAAAAAAATGTCTTATATCTCAAAAACGATTTACAAAAATAGCTTACTTCATTAAAAGTTATCTTGTTCACAAGATAAAAAGATATAGTATACGAAAAGAATAAACCAAAAGAAAAAACAATTGTAAATTATTTGCAAAAAATCTGGTTTTCCGGAAAAAGATAGAAAGATAGATAAAAAGACAAAATGCATTAAAATAAAACACCAACTATAAACTATCATTCAAGTATAAAGGTGGATAAAGAAGGATATTTATTTATCTATATTTTGCTACTTAGATATTTATATATTTTTTGCCCATCACTAAGTAGATGTTATATAAAATATTTTCAAATATCCAATTAACCGAATATATAATTTAACACATGTCCAATATAATAAATAACTGAATACTTTCATTATATTTAATGCCAACTATATATATAAATTAATATATGTTTACCAGTGATTAATAAAAGTTTATTTTAAGTAGAAAAGCGGGTTATAGTGAAAAAATGTTCAAAACCAAAAATTTAATTTTTAATCAAGAAAATATTTGAAGTGACCATATAATTATTTTGGATACTTCCAAATATCAATCACAAGTGGTCTTTCAAAACATCTATTGGTTTAATTGCACATGTAAAATTTTTTGACTGAAAGTAACATGAATTATAATTCCTAAGTAAACAATATAAAAAACATATTTCATTAAGGTCAATTAAACTATGATATATAGCTTGACTTAATTGGCATATTTTGCTATATTATTTGGCACAGGTTATATATTGATTAATAGAGCTTTGGATATTAGGAATACAAATAACACTTCAATGTGTGGAAGTCTTAAAATATACAAATTCGGATTATATATAGGTAATAGGATAAATGGAAATATATTTGTAAATGGTTTAGGACTCGAAAGCAAGATGGTAATAAGTTTGGAGCTTAAGTTATAATTATTCGGTAACTATTTATTATTTATTATATATGATAGCCAAAAACACCATCAACGTTTAATAACATTATTACATTTATTTTATAAAATGTATAATAAGATCTGAAGCACTTTTTTAAAAACTTAAAACCAGTCTTCTTAATAAAAATTCAGGAAAGGGTTTATCATAAATTATGAGGTATTGCGGTTACTACCTCTGTAAATGAAATTTTCGATAAATTAAAAGATAATTGAATAAATATATATTTTTTTAAAATTCATGTTATATATTATATGAAAGTAACAATTTAAATATATTTAAAGTTATTCATTAAACGATGTAACGAATGCAATACTCGTTTGTACCATATATTTATGGAATTCGCCAAAACTTCGGATACCAAGGATCGTTACGAATTATGCGCAGCTCTACGGAAAAAATTTATATTAAAAATGTATGGATCTTGTTAAGGCACAATACGGATATAGCCAACATATTAATATTCCTAAAAAGTATTAAATAGAAAAGTTAACTTTGCTTCTTGATTTCAACAACATTTGATTGCTTATTTGGAATGAACAACAAAATTTGACACATCCTTTGAAAGAACACAACAGAAGATTATATATGTTAATAGCCGATTTTTCTGATAGAATACGGTTTACTTGGCAATAAATTTAGTAGTTGTATTTATAAAAAGATTTTGTTAACACACAACTAATAACAAAATAGGAACTTTTGATTTACCCTATATACGAGAATATGTATCATTTATGCCGACAGCAGTTTTATTTATCATAAGTTATACTTACTACAATAAAATGGTCTATAAGAATTGATTGTAAGTAAAGTTTTAGGCACTTTTAACGTTTGAAATTTGGTCTAAAATCGAAATATACAAAATAAAGAGAATACACAATATCAAAATTTTTTTTTGGTATTAACATTGTTATATTAGAAAAGGTTGGCGGGTATAATGGAAAATATATATCACGTTTATCACCAAAATTAAAAAGGAATCTGGTAATACCTATACCTATTGCCTCTCCTTTTATTTAAATTAGATTATGTTCAATACATAAACAATTCGATTATAAATTTTATGCGAAATATAAGTAAAAACTTTTTTGACTATATTATATAGCAGTTGATATTAATTCATTTAGATTACACATTCTTTAGAAATAAGAGATATATTAAAAATGTATGGGTAGTATTTGCTTACTTAACTGATTTATTGTGCCAGTATTGCAAAAACTTATTCCCTCTCATTATAACAAAATTTATTATATATTATTGCTTTTATGAACAAATTTTATTTATATATTTTAAAACGGGCTAATTAGTCATTGTTAAATAGAACACAAACTCTTTCAATTATTTGTAAAAAATATATTTTATTGTCACCGATATTTTAACTATAAATTATAAAAATTAGTTTTCTTTCTTTTAATAATATTTATTCTGTATTTTTCTCTAAACGGTTATTTTTTTTAAAAAGTCTAAAAAGTAGCAGTTCACGCAGTAACAGGTATATAATATAATCATAGTATTATTATTATTGAGAGTGGTTTTGGCACAACGACCATCGGGTCTATTGTGCTCTCTTCTGGACTTGGGGTATGTCCATAAGCCCACTTGCAACGATAAAAAGTAATATAGAACCTACTTTACAGAGTTTTATTGCCTTTTCCGTAAGAATATACATTCCCAGGAGTCTATTCCGTAAGGCATTCTAACAGCACATATGTGGCTAACTTTTTATTGTCTTAGCAGAATTTACAGTTTGCATCCATATAGATGTCTAGCCTCGTAAGGTGGTATTTTAGTTTACAGTGTCCTGTTAAGATTCCTGTAATGATACTAAGTAAAAATAACCATAGTAAAGACATAATAATTTTGTGAAGATGACTCAAGAACGAAATCTTACTATATATCTGATTAAATGCAACGAATTACTTAATATTGAGTTTGTTCGGAAATTTATTTAAAATTTGTTAAATAATATTTCAAAGTAATTTTAATAGTAATAATTCTTTCTCAATATGACACCTTGTTGTATGAGTAACATACCAATTAACGCCATTTTTTTTTACAAATTATTGTATTTTTAATAATTAAAACTTAATTTAAATTTTAGCTATGAATTTGAACTGAATTATATTAGTACAGTTCATTAAGAAATGTTATATTATGCAATATATAAGCGGAAAACAAATTTGAAAAGAAAAACATTAAAGTTTTGTCAGTAAAAAAAATTGAGTTATCGATAAAATACAAGTCAAGCAAAACTCGCTTAACTAATCCAAATGCATATACGAAAACGTGTAATAGGTCAGAGTTACTATTATCAGCCCCACTGAATACAAAAAAAAAGGATATTCTAATTGCGTATTGAAAAGTTTGAACCAAAAAGGATTTTAAATAAATTTTTTTTTATTTGTGTGCTAATATACTTTTTGTACATTTTTAAATATAAAAAGCGTTGTATATGTATACGTAGCTTGTACAAACAAATCTAAATAAAAAAATTATTCTTTTTATTTTACACAAACAAGAATCTGTAATTTAGGTCAAGCGTATTGTTTACAAATATTAAAGTTAGTGTGTGTACCGACACATACAGCTGCACATGGGTATTTTTGTAAATAGCATGCACTAAACACATATGCCATCAAATATACATATACTAAAACAAAAGTAGTGCACTTCAACTGATGCGGTTGCCAAAAGAGTGGGCAAAGGGGTTACATATACACAGAAACAGCAAAAATGGGGTGCTATGCAAGCGTCACTGCCAACGATGCCGCTACAATTGTGTATAAGCGCTTAATATTCCAACACAAACAAATAGAAGAGAGAGTTTTTGGTGAGTAAACTTAAAATTTATAAACTTTTTATTTCTCAATCTCACGCACTTCGGTTTTATGCTTTATATTTTGCAGCAAGTGACGACAACAAACAACAACAACATATGGAACAAACATTGTTGCAATAAGTCAGGTATGATGAAGCTTTTTCTAATATTTCTCACAGTTTGTATTAATTTTGAAATAATGTGTAAAGTGTTTCTCGCTTTTGGTAAATAGAGCAATCTATAAACTTTTGTATAAAGTTTTATTATTATTATTGTTGTTGTTGTTGTACTCTGTGCTCAGCAGCGGCGTATACTCTTCGTTTGCGTTTGATTTTCCATACCATTCGATCGAATTAAATATTTTCTTTTCTTACAAAATTCCGTATGTACCACGAACGAACACATAATTTGAAATTTGATGTTGTGTGTTTTCGTCGATATTGAGTGGAGTAGGTCAAGGACAGTACGAAAAGTGGGACACCATTATACATTCGTGTGCGCAGCAATGCTTCTTTCTATTAAGTTAGTAGCACAACACGTTGTTTTACACAAAAATAT